CTGTCTTACTGCTTCACCCAGGAGATTTCTCTGAGGCCCAGGAGGCAAAAAGGGGCATGCAGCGGGGGTGTGCTCCATTTTTGCCTTCTTGGGCCCCAGGGAAGCCTTCTGGGAGCAAAAATGCCCTTAGGCCCAGAAGGTCAAAAAACAGAGCATTTGGGGGTGGGGGGGGGGGTTCCTGCAAAAAAAAAGAATCCACATCTACCCAGTCATATGGCCATGCCCACAGAACTGGTTGTTAAAAAATTTGAATCCCACCCCTGCACAAAAATGATTACATGACCCCAGGACACTGCAATCATCATAAATATGAGCCGGTTGCCAAGCATCCAAATTTTGATCATGTGATCCTGGGGATGTTGTAACAGTTGTAAGTATGAAAATGGTCATAGTTTGCTTTTTTCAGTGCTGTTGTAACTTTGAATGGTCACTAAATGAATGGTTGTAAGTTAAGGACTGCATATATTAACTATATTATACATTTAATGTATAGCTCAAGACAATTCCTCTTCACCCAATGTAGTCAATGCAAGCAAAAGATTAGAAATACCTAAATATCAAATAGATTAGAAATTAGCTTGAATATTTTTTTGGTCTAAATGTCCAGCCCAATTTTAGATTTCCCATTTTATTTTAAATTTTCAATCTTTTTTTTTTTTTTTTGGAACATCTGGAAAACAGTTCTGGGAAAATTGAAAGCTTTGCAAATCCTTTGGGGACACTGTGGTTCACTGAGGTCATCCAGGGATTGGGACACAAATAAAGTATCATTTATAGAGAGAGGACACCTATCAGCACTCTTTTCCACCAAAGCCTTACCCAGGAGACATGAAGCAGTGGCTGTTTTGAAACAGGGCTTCCATGGGCTAAAGAAAATGCAAGCTGACACACAATCCAACCTAGATGAAAACACATTTTATAAAAGTTTGTCTGACTTATTCTTAGATGGCAGAGGAGTTGCATGCCTCCTAAAAATTCCAGAAATCTTTTTTGGTCTTTCCAACCCTGTGGAATGTTAACAAAACATAGATAAATGAATTTGGGACTTTATTTATTTATCCAACTGGCCTGCAGCAAGTAACTTCCCAAAAACTAGGCAAAGGAGACCAAATTTGTTGGGAGCAGGAGGAAGTTGGCAGAAAAAAACTGTGCTTGCTGTAGGGAAACAAATCCACAAAAAAAAAAAAAAATCCTGCAACGCATATCTATGGAACAGGCCACCCAGCAGCTGCTCGCAATATTACTGGCTCTTCCATTCTAACCCCCCCCCCTCCTTCCCAGTCATGTGACCCAGAGCAAAGTTTTTATTTAGCAGTCGGAAAGAGTTCCAGGAGCTGCCTGCTTTCCCTGCCTTGTTGGTACAGCTTCATTAATAGAAGTAGGAGTGATCTCAGGGACTCAGAAAGCGTTGAATCTCCTTAGCCCATATGTCTGCATAATACTGATAGTCCTTGGCTTATGACTGATTCCTTAGTGACCAATCAAAGTTATGACCAACCTGAAAAAAGGCTCATCATCCAGATCCAAAGTTCTGACCATCACCCACCCTCGGCAGTCATGTGACAACGCTTTGGACATTCAACAACACGGCCACATTAATGACTGTTTGCAGTGTCCCAAGGTCACTTGACCAGATTTTACAATAATTTTGTCAAAAATCAGTTATTTCTAGTTTTCAGCAAACTGCATCTATAGAAAACCATTGGTTTGCTTAATGACCATTGGGTTTGTTTTACGACTGCTTTTGCTCAGCAACTGCCCTAAAACCATCATAAAATTGGACCAACCCATTTTACTACCATTATTATTTGAGACCATAATAGGCAGGTTTCATTATGGTCATAACTCAAGGACTACCTGTAAAAAAGAAAAAAAGAGAAAAGCTGCATAATATCATTATGTTACTCCTGCATTGGATGTCAAGTAGTATTCCCACAGCCTCAGTTAAATGTGGCAAAGATGTAGAATCAGAAACACAAAGATTAGAAATTGTTTGGGACTGTAAAGAAAGACTTGGATTGAGAACAGCAATCTGGTGGTTAATGTTCTCTCTGGATGCCCACCTCAGATGTTCCTATAGAAAAATGAGCACTCACCTCCCATCTGAAAGCAGCGGATTCACTGATGTTTGCCTGGGCTTCCACAGATCTTATATAATCCTCTGAATTATATAAGCAACTTCCCCCTTCTCAGTACAGATGCTATACCTGTTGTTTCTGCATTCTCGCCAGGCTGGTTGGCTCAGTATCAATCAACAGGAGCCGCCCAGAGGAACTCAGCCCTGCTCTCTGACCTGGTTGACCTTTGAAGGGAGATTCCTTGAGTGCTCAACCCAGGGATCTGGCACAGTTCTGCTGGGAGTCACAATGAGGGCACCAGGAACAGCTAAGCAGGAACTTGCTGGCCCCTCTGGAACTGAGATGGGTGTGTCTGGCCTATTGAGTGTGGTGGAGGCTTGGTATGCTAAACTCTCCCAAAGCCACATGTTTGAGATCAGGATAGAGAAGGGTTCTTTTTGATGCTGTGTTTGATGCTAAAAAATACCCCATCCCAATATTTTAATACAGGTCAAGGCACCACCTGCCTTCCTTCTTCAATAGCTCATAAATATTTCTGTGTTTTGTAAGGAACACCTTTGTTTTTCTTCTTCTAATTCCTTTTTCCTGAAACCCAACTAAGTCACAAACTTTATTTTCATTGTTGGTTAAAGACAGTGGGAATTTCCCCAGCCTAAGTAAGGTTTTACTAACAGATGGTCCAGAGATTGTTAACTTAAAGAAGTTAACCATTACCTGGTGCATGGATGTCCTTCACTGGACAACTGACCTTTTAAAAGTATAATTCCAGCTCTAACATCTTCCCACCTGGCCTCCAAAATCTCCAATCCTTACGCAGAAGGTTTTTCTTTTAATTTTTCCTATCCCTACAACAGTCTTCCAATGTAAATAGAGCAGCAAAATAAAGGGCTGTGATGGTAGGTGGTAGGTGTGTGGAGACTTGTCACAACTGGAGTTAAAGAGTCTGGAAATGAATTAAATGGAAAGAATCATGTGAGGGACATTCAGCCTTTGCTAAATTAATTTATGACCTTTATTAAAGTTTAATTATCTGTTCTACACTAGGGTTTGAGAGGAACTGCTCTTTGCCAAATGAAAATTAGATTACAAGGTTCATTTTAGGCTACTAGAGATAGAATCTAGGTGTAGGGCTTTCAGCTTCCTTGTCAACTTTAGCAGGTTACAGCTAACCAAAAAGGTTCCTTCAGGAGCAAACAACTGGTTGAAGGCCCTGAGTATAGGACTCAGGATTGCAATCTTAATCAAGGGTTAATATGATGATGATGATGATGATGATGATGATGATGTTGATGTTGATGATGATGATGGTGATGGTGATGGTGATAGTAATACTCTGAGTTCCAGGAAACTAATGACATCCCCAGAAGGAGTACTTCTTCTCCCCCATCTCTTTCCCGAGTAAAGGTTCAGCACAACTCCTGTCTACTTTATTATTTGAACTGATTCACCCATATATAGTATTTAAAAAACTAGTCTACATGTTCTAATGGCTATTTTGCATCTATTAGTACACTTACTGACTGAAGCCACTTAAGTACTGACTTAAGTCAGTACTCTCAGACTCAATAAGGACAAACATAACATGTATTCAACATTGTTTGAATATCCAGCATTAATATCTGTCATGAAATAGCAATAAATGGAAACCAGGAATTTTAAAGTACAGTACATTAATCAGCTGAAAACAAAGGCTACTCTCCAAATCTACTAGATATAACTTTCTAAGTTTTTTAAAAAAATAATATTAATAAGTTCACTGTTTGAATAAGAGCCATGATGGCACAGTGTTATAATACATCACTGCAGGCTAACTCACTGCCCACTGCCAGGAGTTCAATTCTGAGCATCTCAAGGTTGACTCAGCCTTCCATCCTTCTGAGGTCAGTAAAAGGAGGAGCCAAATTGTTGGGGGCAATATTCTGGCTCTATAAACTGCTTAGAGAGGGCTGTAAAGCACTATGAAACAGTATATAAGTCTAAGTGCTATTACTATTATTGTATGTATTGATTTTTATTTATTGAACACAACTTTTATTTGAAAGACAAGAGTATGTCACTTCCTATTAATTCCTCTATCCCTTTCCAACGGAGTCAAAATCTGCCCTTTGCAGCTTTTGACCATTCCCCTACTGACGCCTAGGATTCCATGCAATTTTCTGGGCAATATTAGGAAAGGATATTGCCACTGTCACCTCCTTGGGTTATTTTTCAGCTTCTCCACTGAGTCCATTACCCTAGAATTCCCTAGTGGTCTCCTGTCCAAATTCAACCTTACCTGAGTCTGCATAGTTTGTAAACCCAGACTAATGCTGCCATCTTCTGCCTCAATACATAAATAATAACATATGAGAAGATTAGAAGATTAGAGGAATTTTATTGTCATTGTACAAGTACAACAAAACTGTGGATGCACCCCAGCAACTGTTCGCAATACAATAAAACCAAAGCACTTAAAAATGAAGATAAGAAAGATAGAGTACCCACGTTTCCATTTGCAATTTGAGAGTACAATATCTATGAATATACACAAAATATACATCCAACACTGACTGTAACGCTTAGCTGAGTATAATACACAAGAGATGGATTGTACTGGCTTACGAGTTGAGCCCTCCTCGCTGACGGACCATAGATTGCGACTCTCCGCGGCTATGGTCCGTGCTCTTTCGTTGGAGAGCCCCGATCATCGTGATTAAGGGCTGAAGCTGCCTTGGAGGGGCGGTGGAGTAAGGGGAAGCTGCAAGCCAGGTTGAGGGGAGCTGCATCCCCCCTCCTGGGCTTGGTCTTTTTCCCCCCGAAGACGACTGCATCGGTGGTCTAAAATGGCCACCCCAAAGAGGAGGACTCAGCTGGACTAAGGTTTGTGCAGGAAGGAAGGAAGAGGTGGATAACATCTGAACCGGGACAACTGGGTGACACAACTAAACAAAAGTACCCTGGGTTTAAGGTAACATTGAATTTTTAAGAAAAGAAAAGTGAGCGGCGAAATTACAAAGGGACAGGAAAAAAAATAAGAAAATATTTTTGACAGCTAAGTGGGGCTTAGAACTGGGAAAGGAAGAAGCCGGAACTAAAGATTTAACTAAATTGGACTAAAATATTTTGGCAATAAACAGGCATAAAACAAAGCTGGACTTAAGATTGTCAAAAAATAATAATAATAAAATTTACAAATTGGAGACTGGATTGTGCTGGAATATTGAGGTTCGAAAAACCCTAATTAAAAAAATAGGGGGAAAAGGTGAAGACTTTGTATAATGGAGAGTGCCACCTTCTGACAAAAACTTGAGCTCAAACAAAACGGAAAGCACTCTGTTTCTGAATGAACTTGTGTTGATATAACGTTAAAGAAATATTGAAACAAAGTAAGAACCTTAGAAAGTGAAAGCTGCACCAGAATAAAAAAAAAAGCAAGGAAAGACTGACTGTGGGATTGATTGATGTTTTTGGTATAGACCCTGGCCTGGAATAATTGAGAACTTTAGAAAATTGAAAGAAGAAAGAAGGAAAGTAAAAGTGTTTTTTGTGGATTTCAACAATCATAAAATATAAGAGTGTGTAATGATGATATCTCTTCGGGAATTAAAAATGGAACTTAAAAATATGACAGAATTACTACAGGAAAGAGGCAAATCACTTTGCTCTATGTTAGAAAAAATGGAAATGGAGATTGAAGAACAAGAAGAAAGAACTTCAGAGGAGGAGGAGTTGACTCAAGGAGAAGACATCTTAAATAGACAATTAACACAAAGAACACTACAAAGAAGTGGGGAAAGAAGGAAGGCTAAAAGTTGAGATTTAAGAAGGCAATCAAAAAGGGGAATGCCTGTGAAGTCGGGAAAGGCAGAAAGATCCAGCAGAAAAAGGGAAAGGAAGATATCAAGAAAGAGAGGGATATAAACTGGAATGAGAAAAAATATGGGGAAAAGAGGGGGAGGAGAAGCAGTAAGAAACAGGTGCATGAAATAAAGAAATACGGAAATAGTAAAATGTTGAAAAGAAATCGTTTTTTCCAGAGATAATGGTTGATGAATTAAAAAGAGGATTCTGCAGGGTGACAAGGGGTAACAAGAATATATCTGCAATTAAAAATATTTAGAAAATAGGGTAATATAAATTATTAAAGGAGGGATGGATACTGATAACTCTTATTAAAAATTAAGGGGGGAAATATATTGCGGAATCCAAATGATTATTGATGATTATTGATTAATGATTATTATTGCAACTTTGTAAAAATAATGGTTTATTGGGACTCAAGATGAGGGAATAAAGGTATATTTTAACCACTGAGGTGTCACACTCAAAGCAGTAAAAGGGGGGAAACCTATACTTGTTTTTTTTTCTTTAGTGTTAAAACTTGTATTAATCTAGAATTTATAAAAAGAATGTGTGATGGAAAGGGAATATGACAGACTAAAGAACCACTTAAATTAATAAGTTAACAGACTATTAAAAGGAAGGAGAGACATTGGTAACATTATTATTATTATTATTATTATTATTATTATTATTATTATTATTAT